CCCCCCCGCCCCCCCCCGCCGCTTGTGGACCCCACCGACGGTTGCCCGACAATGGATTCGGCTCCGAGAGTACTACTCGCATCACCCTGTTGTTGTTGGGTTTTCAGATTTGGGTTCAGAGATTTCTCCACTGCGGCTTTAGCTGAAGCGGATTGCTCCTCCTTCACGCGGAGGTCACGATAGCATTTGGAGCAGAGGTTCATGCTCGCCGCCGTTCCGAAGAAGCCGCAGCCATTGACGCAAAGCTTCGTCTCTGCAGGACGGAAGCTGGTACTGTCGTTTTGTTCAGAACCCATGGGCGTTTTTCTCCGATCCGATCGAATCCTCTGCAAAACTGAAAGGAAAACGAAAATGAAACCGAAATCGACGAACAGATAAAGGAGCAAACCTTAGGGTTCTCCGGCAGAATCGACAGGAAAAGGAAAAGCCAGAGACTTTCTAATGGGCTTTGGCTTGCTACTCACGCAAAATCCAATCTCAGTCAAAATACAACGAAATGATTCATACCCTTTGATTCTCTTCCCGATATTTATAGATTCTCTCCAGAAAAGGTCCAAACTTTCCAACAGAGAAAAAAAAAACACAATCATCCCAGTTGACGAAAATACCCCTCAAAGAGCCAGACGACTTCGTCGTACAACAAGGTCAAATATGTACATTTGAGCTGACCAGGTCATACATACTTCATTTGGACGCTCTCGGAACACAGAAATAGAAGAGGAGGGACAATATGGTAATTATTCCCAAACCAAAAAGCGTCCACGGTGATTCAATCTAACCATCACCGTTAAAGCTTCCACGTGTAATCATCACCTTAAGAAAATCGGACGGCTTAGATGATTTCTCCTTCAGGAAAAAAGAGTTCAAAATCTCAAGGGGGAAGAAAGAAAAACATGAACGACGAAAACACGAGAAGCACGAATCTCAACCACAGCAAATCGAATTGAAACAGCGGAGAAAACCGAATAGACAAAGAAAACGCGCATCAAATGGATAAAAAACCCCCGAGAAGGTACCTTTTTTCCGACCGACGAAACAGATCGGAAAAGACCTTTGTCTCCTTGTTCTGTCGCCGGCGAATCGAAACTAGATATCTTATAAACAAGAAAAACACTTAGGAAACCATGAAAGAGTTCTTACGGTATTTATCGCATAAAATTCCCGAACGGAAGTTCGTGATTTGATCGAAAGCCGACTTTCTCTTTTCGTTTCGATGAGAGAGAGGGAGAGAGAGAACCAAACAGGCCCTTTGGTCCTTTACGTTTGTTTTCGTAATCCTACGGCGCAAACCCACGGAATTTTGTTGGGTGAATATCGGAATTTTTTTTTCTTTTTAAAAAAATTATGTTCATGTGAAATGAGGCGCACAGGATGTTGTGATATTATCCGTCCGATTGAATCCATGCCCGCGGAATGACGTCATATCTAGGCAATCGGACGGTTTACAGTAATTGGGATTTTATGTCAGATAGTGGAAATATTGCGCTAGGATTGTTTTTGTGTTCCGGATTACGATAAAGTTGCTTTCGGTTCGGGGCGAGAGCCGGTTTACAGAGAACCGGGTCCGGTTCTGTTGACAAACCCAGCTGTTTGACAGTGACGTAGTGGGAGCGTGAAGTGCGACCAATGACCACGCTAGATGTGGCGCGTGTCTTTAACCGTATGGAAATACACAAACCGGTGGAATAGGTTCCTTGGGCCCATATGCCGACTGCACTATTATATTATTTTAATAATAATAATAATTGTCTAATATAACGTGAGATATATAATAATTTTGTTAAATTACTTTTTATTTTTTTTGGTTGAATGTTAAATTACTTTTTGTATGTTTGAAAGATCTTTTTGTGCTCATTGGGTCAGGAAGTTCATGAATAAGCTAACAAATATGACCGCAAGGAAAAAGATATGTAAATGGAAATCTTACTATATAGCCATAATCACTAGGTATTATTAAGCATCCATATACATTGATATATGTTTTATACAGAGATTGTAGTTCTCATAGTTTAAGAATGAATATTTAAATCGTACGTTTTCGAAAATTTCAAATTATTAGTAACTATTAACAACTATATGACCAATGATTTACCAAAAAAAAAAACACTTTTGTAAGAAAAAATGATTTACCAAAAAACACTATATGACCAGTGTGAATGTGTGTATATATATATGTCGTGATGGATTCAAAAAAATTTATAATAGAGATAATAATATTAATATAAAAATAAAATATAAAAATATATAATCACAAAAAAGTTTATATAAGGATAAATTTAATTTTAATGTAGGAGCATTTAATAATTCAGTCTAAAAATTTTATAAAAAAAAAATTAAACTTTTAACTAATGCAACGCGGAACCCCGCCCCTTTATACATAGGTCGGCATCCATGCACTAATTATACAACCGCAATCCGTCCTTTGGCAAAAATATATGTTAAAGCTTACGTATCATCCACAGGATTGAGGGACGTGAGACCTATCGCGGGGCGTGTAAATGTTTTCTTTAATTATCATCTTATCGTGGTTTGATATGGGCCTCGACTTCACGACTACTTATGGGCCTTTACTTGTGGCCCAAAATCTCTGACCCCGTCCTCGCAAGACATTGGAACGCGTGCCGTTTTTGCAACTTCAGCCCGGCAAGCAGTTAGTTTCGTCCTCGCCAGAACCATTGCTTGAAAAATGAAGGGATAAAAATTGGGGAAAATGGTTTTCTTCTCGCCAGAACTATTGGCCGCTCTGTTTATCAAATGGGCTGGCTCCGCTTTTGATCGACACGGTTAGGTTTTGATATCCAATTTCGATTTTAATTTTTAATTTTTCGTCAAAATCGGAATCAAGGTTTTTTTTTGTAAGTGGGTTCTCGTGCGTTATGATTTTGATTTGTGATGGATTGATGTGTGACGATTGAAGAGCAATGGAGTTTTCACTTCTTGAGTTCTCAATTCTCAACGATCAGATTTCTGGAATTCTGAGATGGGACATGTTTTAGGGTTTTCATTCGTTCGACGAAGCATAGAGTTGTAAGCATCTAAAAGCAACATTTCGTTTTCCATTAAAGCATGAGGTTTCCGCATAAATCCGACAAGGTTTCCCATTCGTGAACTGTGTTTGGTTTCTGAACCCGAAAACTCTCTCCATTGAGCTTAATTCTCTTCACTTGCATTCTCTGATTGTTCCAAAACAGGTACCTCTAATATGGGAGCAACGCCTTTCCAGCATCGGTTATGCATTTCTTCCCGATTGATTCGAAATTTCTGGATGTGGATCCATGCAAGAAATTTCTCTTGATAGTGTCCCACGATGTCGGCCAGCACTTGCAACATCAGTATGCTACTCGTTTAGAAGCTTCATTGTTGCACGAACGAAGTATTTCTAGCCATTGGTTTCCTGGACAATGGGAAAACGTCGCTTGATGTTAGCGAATCATATGCCTGGTTTGTACATTTTTAGAATCAATCTTTGGTAAATATGCTAGTAAATCATATGTGCCTCCATCGACTTTTGTAGCCTGTGGTAAATATCATCTTTCGAATATGGAGAATGGCATCTATTCCTTTAAGATTGTAACAGGTCGATCCCGAGCTTGCCATGGCTGAAGCTGATAAGGTGGGAGATGATGAGACTTCAAAGTATCTCCTAAGTATCCTGTACTCTTTTTTTTACTGTTCTGTTTGGAAATACAGGAGCTTAGATTACTTCATTCTGCTCTCTCTTGTTTTTGTGGGCATTTTTTTCTCATAGTATCTTCTCTCTGCTATTGATTTTCATCAGTACCCTTGTGCAGGAAGAAATCTGCTCATCATTAAAAGATTACTACAAGCAAATAGAACAATTGAAAGAGGAAATAGGCAGATTCATTTTCAAGAATCTGTAGTAACCAAATTTAAAATTTTTCCATTTAGTTTCTTCATTCGATCTACTACTAATCACCATGTCTCCTGCTTTACTTCTGTTCTTTGTGAGCTGAATCTTTTTTATCAGAGTAAAGAACGTTCTGCGATCTCGTTTTTTTGTGTGGTTTCTTCTGAGATTGGCTTAGGGGTGTGAATATTGGTCTGAATGCTCTGGTTATTCATGTAATATCTTACATTATTCTTGATTGACAAAAAGATATGTCTCCCTTCCTAAATAGTATGCATATGTCTATAATTCTGATCTGAATGCTCCTTTTTTTCCCCATTAATATGCATCAGTGATGTGATTCTTCCTCTCCTTCGAATTCTTTATCTGCAGAAGTTCTCTTTGTCAGAGCTTGTTTTGTCCATCTCTTCAAGTCATAGACTCTCTTGAATGATTTCTTCTCTCTGGTAAGTCTTCTCTTTGTAATGGCAATTGCTAGGTCATTTGGAAACAGATCTCTCCAGACAAAGGCATGGAGGAGGGTGGAGATAAACAGAATGGCCACCATTGTCGAGGACATGAAAGAGAGGACGAGTGCCAAACCCTTGCTCAGAGGACCAGGTACTTGCTCTGCATATTTTATAGTTGCTACTGATGCTGTAGTCATAGGAAAAGTATATGACCACCATGCCACTGAGAACCTGCAAACCTCAATAAGCGTTAGCACCTCAACCATGGTTGTGTGTTATCTAAGTCTTGTTTTAGGGTTTCTGGTAAAGAAATGGATGGACTTTACCTAAACCCGGTGAAGAAATTGATCCGTATTACCAGTGAAATGTATAGGAAGAGTGCAATGAAGAAACAAGTCCTGGAACACCCATCGAACTTTCCGTAGATCGTCTCCCAAGCTATACTTGCAGCTGATGGGGCAGCTATGAACATGGAGTAAACAGGGTGAAGCTCCTTCGGAAGAGCCTCACTTGTGGGGAGCCTCTGATACAGTGTGACAAACACAACAAGATAATGTGCAAACCCGACTGCCCACAGGAACTTAGCCGCCTCATTCCATCCAACCTTTGAAGCCAAGATAGCTCCAACAAAGTTCCCTACTACTGAAAGATGAGAAGAAGGGTTTGCAACTTTGCAGAGTCGTCTTTTCCCACCGGAAAGCCATTGCCCATATATCTTAAGTTCGAGGAAGAAGTAAGGACCCATGAAAGCGCACCAGATTACAGGGTGGAGAGCTTTTTGGTGAGAGGAGAAGAGAGGAGGTACACTGATGGCTAGAAACATGCAAACCACCCAAGGAGCAAAGAAGAAGTTGACACGGACTGGGTGGCAATACTCTCGTTTGACAGCTTCAAAGTAGAAGATGCATTTGAGAATGTAAGTGAAGGAGATGGAAACTAAGGCTATGAGTGACAAGAGCCATATGGATAAGTTGATTAACGGTGTGATGTGTAGGAAACTTGTCGCTGGGCTCTTGGCCAAGGCAAGCCATAAGACAGCTTGACTGCTTAGACCTAAGCTGATACCAAAGCATCCGATGGGGAACCTTAGAAGAAATGGCCATTTCTCCTCTTTAGGAAGCAGAATATCTTCATGCTCCTGAGACAGAACACAAGTGGAATAAGACAAAACATCAGATTCTAGATCATTTTTGGCTATTGGGTGTCTGAAGAAAAGAGATAGGAAGAGTTACCTTGACTTCATCTAATTCGGGTCCTCGAAGAGCAGCAAAGTATCTTCCAGCCGGAACACTTGCATTTATAGACTCATCTAAGCCATTGGGTTCACCATCTTCAGTTCTGACAGAATTCTCGACGTCTCTTTCCTTTCTTGCAGAAGGCAAAAGAGAGTTCTGCTTGCTAAGCGTCGACTTAGTCCTGAAGATACTGAAATCCGCTTTCCTTGCATCTCCTCCACCATTGATTCTGGCACCAGATTCAAAGCCAGCAAAGCTCCGACCACTTCTTGGTAAAGCCTTCTTCTCGTCTCTTCTTCGGGATTCTCTACTGAGTACAGAGAAACCTGTCTCGAGCGAGACCTGTCTGCTGAAACTGCGGTGTTGTGGTCTGGCTCTTATGGGTCGGTACCCTCCTCTGTGACAGGTAACTCTCTTATCTGTTCTTGTTGTCTCCTGTTCCTTTTCTGGCTCTTGCTCTGTTGCATCTTCATGCAAAACCTCGTGGATGTCAATGAAATCGGCTCGGAGCGAGTTGGGAGGAGGAGATGATGGTCGTTTCCGCTCCATAGCCCCAAGATTTCGATTCTTGAACTGCATAAGCAATGGCTTCTCCTAAACATAGGGAAGAAACGTATGTATAGAAAGATTTGTGCATTTAAGACAGTGGACTTTGGAAAGAGATCACGAGAGGAAAGTAGTTTTGATGAAATGGGAACCATTACTTTTTTTTTTTTGTGGAAAGTGAATTTAAGTTAGATTTCTCGTGAAAGTGAATCAGCAACAGCAAGTGTTGTGTTTTGTTCCGAACAACTTGGAAGAAGAAGGAGAGGCTGTTACATATCAGTTCACGAGAATCAAATGCAAACGAAAACAATTAGTAGTCTAATCTTTAATGACTAATTACATTACTTTTTAATTCATTTGATCTATTCAAATAGATAATTTTCACCAAAAGAATATTATAATTATCGAGAAATCCAATTTAATTTCATTTTTTCAAAATTATTTCGAATTATTTTAAAGTTCACTCTCTAAAGTAATTTTAAAAAACGTAATGTAATGATTATACTTTGCAAAGTTGGACATTTTTAGTTAGACATAAAGTTCAAATATCTATAACATAAATAACCAAAGTTAATTGTAATTTTCCTATAAACCATTTGAAATACAATGAAAAATGACAAACATACTAATACAGTGTATTAAAAATCCTATCGCCTAACCAAATTTACATGTATTAAAAATGTTATTTAAGTATAAAATATTGTACATATGAAATAGGATGCAAATTGACCAACCAAATGAAAATGCGAATGCGCCTAACCCCAAAGAAACAGATTTGAACTTTTCATATAACCATTTGAAGGAATTTTTTATTATTCGAACAAATTTGATTCAAACAAAAAACAATATTAATAATAATAAAAAGAGACATCTTTAGTTCTATGAAATTCTGCACCTGTTTTCGTCGCATTTTGTTATATATGTAATTTCCCCAACCTCACCATATTATACAATTGAAACAAAACCACCAGCTCCCAATTCCACCGGTTTATCAAAACCGAACCGAATCAGACCAAAATAGTTGAAGAATTGCAAAGAATCAGAACACTAAACCGTAAAGAATCACTTAACCGACCGGTTTAATCCAATCTTCTTCGTCATCATCACTTGTGGTTGGCCAATTTGGATCTCTTCTTAGCTTCGCTGTAGAGAACGACACCCATAACCGTGACGGCGAAGCCGGTGATTCCCATGGCCGTCACCGGATTCCGGAATATCAGAACGGAAACTCCGGCGGCGATGGCTGCTTTTCCGTTTCCGAGGACCTGCAATGTCAGAGCACTGGTGTGCTTCGTCACCAAGAAATTCGTCAGATTCACCAGATACGCTACTGTCGCGTTTCCGACAAGCAGGAACACGATGAACGAATCTGTCCGAGCCTTCTGGATCAGCACTCTCAGGACATTTCCTTCGATGTAGAGAGTGAACGGCAACAGAATACAAGCCGCCATTGGAGCCATGTAGAGGAGGAGGTTCATGGAGTGAAGCTTCTCCGATTCAGACGTCAGGATAATTCCCTGAACCACAGATTTCAGTGCTCTCCCCGCTGTGGATCCGACACATACGAGGAATCCGAAGAAATGGAAACTGGGTTCGCTGTTCGAAGCCAGGACAATCCCCATGACGACGGGGACAAGAGCGATGTACACCTCGCCGGATTCGTTCTTGCAGGTGATGATGAAGGCGAATACGGCGGTGAAAAACGGGGTCGTTGCTCCGATCGCTTGGTTGAAGGAAACGGGGATGTAACGGAGAGATGTGTTCCCGCACACGACGGAGAAGCAGAAGATGGCGGAGAGGCCGAGGATCTTGAGGAACTGCCGGCGTGATAGGATGTGCTGACGTGGCACTATTCCGGCGAGGTTGATTGCGACGGAGCTGTAGGCGGCGCAGGATAGCATGTGGATCATCGTGAGGAAGACTGGGTATCGAAACCCGTAATAAGCGAGGAGGTATTTGTTCAGGAGTAGGACTCCAATGTTGGACCCGAACCATCCGGCGATTATCGCCGCCGTGAGCACCGCCGGAGATATGGCGGAGGGGAAGAGGGAAAACTCTTTTCCGGAGGCGGGGGAGTGAGAGGAACTGCCGGCGTGATAGGATGTGCTGACGTGGCACTATTCCGGCGAGGTTGATTGCGACGGAGCTGTAGGCGGCGCAGGATAGCATGTGGATCATCGTGAGGAAGACTGGGTATCGAAACCCGTAATAAGCGAGGAGGTATTTGTTCAGGAGTAGGACTCCAATGTTGGACCCGAACCATCCGGCGATTATCGCCGCCGTGAGCACCGCCGGAGATATGGCGGAGGAGAAGAGGGAAAACTCTTTTCCGGAGGCGGTGGAGTGAGGCGGGGTCGAGGGTATGTCGACGACGGAGGCGGCGGCGGTGGCGGCGGAGGGGTCGAATCTAGGGTTGCTCATCCGGCGAGTTGTCCATGACTGAGCCTCCACCATTTTTGAAAAGCAAAAACTGTGAAGAAAGAAAGTTCCTCTCTAATGGATTTTTTTTTCTCTGAGATTGGGATTGCAGGAAGTGAAGTGATGGAAAAGAAGAAGATGCTGATGTGTACGTGGATCTGATCCGACGGTTGACGTTCATGTGGTGAGTAAAGCTTTGTGCGTTTTAAGCCGTTGGATCTAGTAACTTCGAGGGGATTAAAAATAATAACTATTATTTTTTAAAGACACGAAGTCTTTTGTGTTAAGGGCCCAAACGGTCATAGGCTGTCGGTAACAGGTCCACATTGAGATTACATGAGCAATAATCTTCTGCAACGCGGTTCAGGGAATCGCTACTTTTCAGCCGTACGATGGATTTGACTATAGATCTCAGACGTTAAGCCGATTCGGCTTTTTAAGAAATAAATGTTCTTTAAAATTAACTTCCACTGGGGAAACTAATTAATGTTCGGACAACTACAAGCATAGGTTTAGAAAATAAACAAATACATAAAACTTGTGATTTTCCTTTTGCCAAAAAATCTTAATAATTCTACAAGAATCGACCATTATCCAATCACACATAGTTATTAATCACTCATATATGAAATAATGTGAAATAATTATGATAAAGATAAATTTGCTAGACGGTAATAAGTACATCATTATTTTAAATAAAGTAAAACGATTTAATGAGGAAAACTTCTGGAATGAGAAATGCATTAGAGTGTATTGGAAGAATACGATGAATCATGTAAATGCAATAACAAAATATATATGCATAGACTATAGGCTACAATATATAATAATATAAAGGTAAGAAACGAGATCCGAGATTGTGAATTTGATTAGTTCTCAAAACAGAAGACGCCCAATAAGCTTAAAATCACCCATGGATCCTATGCACTCTTAAGTCCATTAGATTCTATATCAATTATTTAATATGATTTTATAACAATCATAATATTTTTTAAGACTATTTGTATCTATCATATATGCATGGGTATAATTTAGTTATATATATATATATATAGTGTGTGTGTGTGTGTGTGTGTGTTTCTGTTTTGTTTAAGATGTGACACTACAATATTGATAACCAACCCTAAAAATTTGGATATATATATGATATCTCTCTATATGTGTGTGTGTATATATGTGATTGATGGTGATAGATGTAGTTATCTTTCGTTTGAAGACGGAGCAAACAAGCCATCTGAATATTTACTATGTTGAAAAAATATAGAACATGTGTGCAAAGTTCCAAATATTTCGCCAAGACAAAATACTCGAAATGATGGATGCCACGTCATCGCCATGAAACTAAACGGGTCGTGAATGTGTTTATGGTGCGCATGCATGCATGCATGCACATATACACCAATATATAACTAAATCCAAATGAAGTTGTACCACTTGAGCTAATTACCATTGGACCATCCCTGATCTCCGCGTGGAATATTTTAATCTTTGACCCATTACATTTTTATCCAAAACTTGAAAATATATATGCTGTTAAATCTTATCCGAACATTGGATATATTGGAAATTGAGAGTAGATTTGAATTCTGCAAATGAGATTACAGATCAGTTGGTTTAAATTTAGATTTCGCAATGAAATATCCAATCTAACGCTATATTTTTATGATTTTTAACTCGAAAAGAAAACATGATATAGAACTATTGATCGAGAACATACTACATTTTGAACAAAAATAAAAAAAATAGAAATCCGTATCGAAATATCAAAATCTTTTGATATATGAGATCGAGCTCCAAAATATCTAACACGAAATATTTGGATTTAGATCATCCAAAAACTCGTAACAGTAAGGTATATTTTTGGAACACATGTTGGGTATTTCATTATAAAAAAAAAATACAAAGAAAGAGGTGGGCCAGATTCAAGTTGGGAGATCCATTTTGTTTCCTTCCCTGCGCGGCCCAATTCCGTGGGCCCAAAAACTGAAAGACCAAATTGAATGGCGTCGCCGGACTCGAACCGGAGACCTTCAGTGTGTTAGACTGACGTGATAACCAACTACACCACGACACCCCATGATTCTTATAATTCAACTTTTTGAATTTTATCAATCTATACAATTCACGGTGGTTTAATTGTAGATGGATAATCTGTAATTTCTTTCCCTCTTAATCTTATTATTCCCTCACAAATGGTTGGCTCATCATTTCATAGTTACACACCAACAAGGGTTAGAATTTCAACGTAAGACCATCACAAGTGCATATTGTTCGGCTATCAGAACTTTCTAAAATCTTCCGACTATCTATGGCAGCGATTGAGATGACAACTTGCCAACCGAGATCATGTTGTTCCTGCGACTCATTAATGTGAGATGGCATTGTTCAGTTAGACAACACAAGCATTGCAATTCAAGTGGCTCTACATATGAATGTTTAGGCGGTACAATATTTTTAAAAAAAAGTCTATGGTAGACTACCCGATATCGTTGTTTGCTTGCTGGCTCCGTATAATTCAGAGAACACTAGTTTTCTCAAAGGCATCTTGTCCACATCTCTCATCAAAAGAAGTTGTTTGATAATGGCTCTCTATCATACTTCCAGCTAACCCTGGATTGCTTATAAGTAAATGAGATAACCCAACCAATTCTCGCGTTCACAGTTGAAAAAGCTACTGGTTTCTCTCTCCGCCAAATCAAACTGGTCAAGGAAGTTTTTCTAATGGTATGACACTAGAATATTTGGTACATTCAACTCCATGATTACATCTTCAATGCACAAAATTCTTGTTCTCCATCACTACTGTAGCACACCATTACCCGAACACGTTATGTGTAGGAAAATGTATTTTAGAGGAGAATTGGTCTGGTGAGAACATAAAAAATAAGGCTCTAGGCTATCGATTTGATAGGGAGACGAGAGAGACTTAGAGACTTTTGGAAGAAAGAGTCTTGTTGTTATTGTTACAGGGTTAATTCCAGGAAAATACCTAAAATTAAAATTTTTTTTCCATGATAACATCCAAATTTAATATTTAGCTAATTAATACCCTAATTTGCAAATATTTTCCAAATTGATACCCAACGGATGATATGGTTAATTTTCCGTCTTGTGTGCTACGACATCGTACACATAGATGCCACGTCACATATGTTAATTCCAGAAAAATACCCCAATTCTTGATTTTTTTTTCCTGATATATACCCAAATTATAAATTTAACATAAATATACTCCAATTTATAATGTCTTTCCAAATTTATATCCAAATTTATTAATATTCTTCCAAATTGATACCCACATTTGTAAACATATCCCAAGTCCGACCCGACCCGAACTCGCACTCGACCCTAAGATTTTGGGATCGGACCCGGGATCAACCCGATTTTTTTCAGGTCTATATTACCAAGTTCGAACCCTGTCCCTATAAAGTTTACTTTTTTCTAGAATCTCTTTTAAAACTCATGAATTTAATTGGAAAGCGGGAAAATGTATATATTTTTATAAATTTTAAAATTTATTTAATTTTAATATCTAAAATTAAGAAAATTAAGAAAATTAAGTATTAGTGATTTTATTACTGGATTCCAACATTGTTATAATATATATATATATATATATATATATATATATATGTGTGTGTGTGGCAAGTATTAATGATTTTAATGCATCTCCATGTTATTACAATTTGAATATATATATATATATGAACCAAATATGAAACCGATCTAGGTTGATTTTGAGTCTTTTTATTTCGATTAGCCTTTTTCATTCTCCGAAAAATTGAAATCTAAATTATCTAGCCCTGATTTTAATATCTAAATTTTATAAAAGTACGAAAATTTATTAGCGATTTTAATGATTCCCGTTTATTATAAAGTATTTAAAAAAGTATAGATGTATGTATGTATATATGATTGTTTGTATATATATATGTATGTTTGTATGTATATATGTATGTATGTGTGTATGTATATATATGTATTTATATATTTTATGTATATATAAACATACGTAAGTTCTTTATATATATAATATGATATGTATGTATATATATTAATTAATATTAGGGGTATTTTGGTCATTTAATCAAAACGCTGCAAAACACTATCGTAACGCAATCTTTTAGCTGCGATTAGAATATTGATGTTTTGTTGCGATTACGGACGATTACGATTCCAACAATCATTTTTTCAATCACCCGTAATCGTCAGAAATCGCAATCGCTGCGATTACGGACGACTGCGTTACCACCAGTCACACCCTTTAATGATTCCCGTTTATTATAAAGTATTTAGAAAACATGATATAAATGAAATCTCAACGACTGATTTTGAGGATTTTTTTTTTAATTTACAACGCGATCACTGAGCATTTATGTAATCGGGTGCCTCGACCAATGGATAACGATCTAATCACGAACATGGATAGCTGTATTGTATTCGCCAACTGAAATTTTAGTTGAGTCCATTACATAGATTTCATATACTATAATTTTATCTTATATTCTTATATATATATATATATATATACACGTGGACGTATGTACCATGCACGCATGCATCAGCACGGTCGTCATATAATCGTCTAGAAATCTGAATCGGAATAAAGAATATAAATGGACCGACGTGGACCATATTCCCCATATCAAAATGTCAGACCTAATCCTGACCCCAACTGCTATAATATTAATGATTAATTTATGAATCATTCAATGGTTATCTAAGCATCCACGTCATTCCTCCGCATTTAATCCTTTCTAATTATTGCCCATGTTATTTTTTTTTTTCTATTTGGTTGCTGTTTTATGATTTTGGCATTGTAAGATTATCATTGATTTATTTTATCATATAACGCATAATATTAATCAAAATATGATGGTTGTGTTTATTTACCGTTATGTTTTTATCTAATGCTCTTCATAAAAGCGTCTGGTAAATTATTTTGCATTTTCTAATAGGGTATATATATATATATATACGATATTTGTGCCATAATTTCATCGGATCGATTTTTTTATAATTCGAAAGTTTATTAAACTTTTGATCTAACTATATCTTTCAAAGGATCGAAAAAATCCGGATAAATGTGTCTCTCCACGTTTGGATCTCTCCACGTTTAGATTTGAACCTAAGATAAAAATATATTTTTACATATTTTGCTATCACTAATTCATCAAGTTTGGATCGTCGGGTTGATGTTTGATAATATATATATATATATATATATTAAATTGCCATACTGAGTTATTACCTTTATGTAGTTCTGCTTTTATAGGTTTGTAGGATGATTCCACTTGAATGTCAAAATGGGTTAGGTTGTTCTGATTGGAAAAGCTAGATGGGAACCATAATAAGAATTATAATTATAATTTTACCAAAAAAAGAATTATAATTATAATACTATTATTTTTATTTTAAAAATACTATATAATTTAAATAGATAACTTTATAAATTAGATCATATACATCTTGTTTATGTTTTGGAAATTCGTTCAGATGATATAGGTATGCGATGAAAATATAGTGATCTTATGTTCGAAAATGGCGATTATATGTTTAGTGATAGATTTGTGAACGTCATAAAATAATATGTTGATGTGATATCATTACAAGGAAACACGTGATGGTTTTCCTTGGCGGCTGGCACGTGTCCACCATGTATTGGTTGTGACAAAAAAGTTAGAGTACGTACGCTACTATTTGTCTTTATAAAATTCTTTTAAATTTTTTATAATGACGGAAAACCTTAAAGTTTCGAAATATATCATTCTTTATTTTTAAATCTAGATAAGAAGTTTTATCTTACTCCACATGGAAAGTTATTCACCTTAGTTTGTTATTTTTTTTTATATTAGCTATATCTAAAAATAGTTTTAAAATACTAGACGATAATATTTTTAATTATAATATTTCATTAACATGGTTTAATTTTGAAACAATCTAAACGATAATATTTTTTTTTTGGTAAAGAATCTAAACGATAATATTTTATTAACATGGTTTAATTTTGAAGATATTTTTAACTAATTATTTCTTATTTTTTCATTGAATTTCGTATTTCATAACGCAATAACTTGCAGTAGATTGTTTTCAAATATCAACGTATATCGTTATATATTTCATTCTGAATATTTTTTTTATCCTTCCAACATATATGGTTCATTACTTCATTTATATATTTTTTTTATATAACCGGATATTTTAGATCGAGATTCATTGGAAGTAACTCATGTGATTAGAATTACGTTATTCTTTCTAATTTGAAATTTAAATTCGGAGTGAGACAAATGCTTTGCGTCCCTTTTCAACTGTTGATTTATTCAATTTGGATTATTTATTTTGATATTGGAATAATACGTGAATATTTTACGGTAATAGAATCCAAGACGACAGTGTGAGAAGTGAAGTACAAAAATAGTAATTAATGGAGAAACAGGTAATTGTCACATAGAGTTTAATCACTTAGTCAAGCCTTTTTTTTAGCTAATTAAACTACGATTTGTTGCAGCCATTATTGGATCTTAAAAACGACAGTTCCGGCAATATAATTTATAATTTTAATAAATTATTCAGAAAAATTATTATTTGACAATGCATTATTGCTAGTAAAACCCATGAAATCTTCACAATATGATTAAAATTGTGAAAATCTTCGCAATGTCACCATAACCAAATCAAATTAGTGACAAATCTTTTTCCAAATCTTTTTGGCTGCACGACAACGACGTAACATTAAAAAAACTGCCTTTTGGTCCCTTATTTGATATTATTTATACAATTTGGTACTTGTTTTGATAATGTTACATTTTCTATTTCTGGGAAAAATAGAACATGCAAAATTTCATGATGTCTCGAACACATTATAACGAAGAAAAACACATAACGAAATGATATTTTCTTTTGGAAAAACATTATCGTTTAACTTTCGATATTATCAATATTATTATTTGTCGCTATAAATAATAAATATGTTAAGTAAAAGTTGGTTCACCTATATATATGTTTTTGTTTTTTATTATAATTAATATATTAACAAAAAATTAATTTAAATATAATACCTTTAGTATATCACAAAACCCAAAAAATAACAATTGAATAAAAAATTAAAGAACCTATACAATAGTTTTTAAATCTTTATACATAGATATGAAGTTGATCATAATAGAGTTTTATATACACTACAAAAAAATCATTTGAATATTATATGGCAAAAGAAATTTATAAAATATAAATATGTTATGTTGTAGAAATTTATAAATCGAAACTTAAGATTCATCTAACAAATTGACAACATATATTGCAGTTAGATGATTATAAATAATTCCATATATGTAACTTTTTCGAAGTTTTGTTTTTGTAATAAAATATAAGTGTTTTTGTAATTTCTATTATTATTATTATTGTTATTACTTTATTTTTTTTTTATTTTTTAGGACAAAGAATTCGATTACTTTGCGACATTGTTCGTGTAATCAGATCGAGCTGTGGTGTCGATCATATTTAAAAGCATACGCTCTCTCCCTAACGTCATAATCATATTATTTAATAGCCACAGAATGTACAGTTTCCGAGTTTAATTTAATTTAAATTAAAATGACGAAATTATGGAGATTATTTGATTTTTTGTCGATTCGTGTCACACAACCTGCCCCGTCGCATCTGTCCAATTAAATAGGAGTAAATAAATAAACATAAAAATAAATATTGGAGACAAGTATAAAATGCCCTTCATCAGATCAATCAAATCTCGCTCAAACTACCAAAAGAACCTCATAGAAACCCTAGATTCTATCCTGTTGTTAGAAAAACAGAACCCAATGGATTACATTCCTTCACCAGATTTCGTTTCTTCCATGTTCATATCGGATTTGGCCGATCAAGATGGATTCGGTTTCGAATTTCCGGATCCTACCGCGTTCATATCGTTTCAGAATTCCGAAACTCGTAATCCCACGGTCGATAACGGAGCCGAAGATGATCGGAAACGAAATGGTTGTGAAGTGTTCGAAACTCGGGAAACGGAAAAGAGCAAGAGGATGAGGCATAGAGACGTCGAGAGGCAGAGGAGACAAGAGGTTTCATCCCTTTTCAAGAACTTGAGATCTCTCTTGCCATTTCAATATATTAAGGTAAATATATACTGCCTTTGATCTCTCTCTCTCTCTCTCTCGTGTAAAGATTTAGCTATATATATTATATTAAAAAAAATCGGATTTATTAGTGGTTTATCACCGGTTTGGTTCATTCAGTTATGGCTGGTTTATGTTTATCCGGTTTATTTGTTTATGTTTTGTATTGTATTTGTTTGTCTTTGTACTTGAACACTTCTTCCTCTTCTTCAATGTGATTAGAGAACATATTTTCCACAATTCGTTTTTGTTTCTCTACCGATTTCTTCCTCAAATTTCATATTTCGAAATGATTGATCGAACAATTAATCAAAATATATACTATACGCATATATAGTTCACATCGAATTCACCTTATAGTTTGTAAATCTAATCACATATATATTGCATGCAGGGTAAGCGTTCGTCATCAGATCACGTCCTAGAAGCCGTGAATTACATCAGAGACTTACAAAAGAAGATCAAAGAACTCGACGAGAAGAAAGATCAGATCAAGAAATTATCAGATCGAGAAAACATAGCTTCAGGGTCTCCACCATCTTCGACAGAGGAATGCAGTTCATCATCATCATTATCATTATCACCATCATCATCATCATCATCATCATCATCATCATCATCAAGCTGTTCTTGTGCTGAAGACAAACACGTTAGTGTAGTGGTAATGCCTTGTTTGGGAGGATTTGAGATTGTGTTAAGCTGTTGTTTCAGATACAAGCTATGTCTCTCGAGTGTCCTTCAAGTTCTTGCCCGAGAGAAAGGGTTTAATGTTGTCAGATGCACCTCCACTGCACTGCAATCGAGGCTCATCCACAGTATTTTTGGTCAGGTAATTTATTTAGATATTTTATTATTTGTTTGTTTTCATTTATAAGATAAAATGAAGTGTCAGTGTATAAACATATATACATAAATGGCGGATGGAATACATGATCATGTTCTAACAGGATATCAATTAACTATCATTTATATATATATATATATCTGTAATTCTTGAGAAGAAAAAAAATACATTTTTCCTAATGTTTTCTGCTTTTGAATGTGCAGGCCGACCAGGGAAGAAACATCAATCTCGTGGAGCTGCAAGACAAAATAATGAAAATGAGAAGATGATTTCATAAAGGCTTATATATATATATATATATATATATATATGCCTTTTTTGTGAGATTTGAGGTTGACAACGTTAAGACATCTGTAATTCTTGTAAAAAGGTTCAATTGATGACAAGATTCAATAAAGGAACAGAAAAGAGAAATCCTAATACTTTAAATAAAATAATTAAAAAATGAAAGGTTTTTTAAGCATACTCATGTCCTACAATATTTTATTATAGCCGGATATAAATATGCAACTTTAAATCAAATCTAATTTTGAGAATAAGAAAAAAGTTAAGTTACCTTTAATCAACGTACGACTATTTTTTTTTAATAAACCAAATAATCTCTCTAGTTGATTTCTCCGGTTCAATTGGATTGAGAGAGATTCCGGTTTGTGAATTCATCACTATATATTTGTATGTGGCCCACAATTTTAATTTGGGTATGGGGCCTTGGACCCAATTTATTGCACCTTAATAAAAATGAGATAATGTGCAAAATAATCTCTCTAGTTTATAGCTTCACAAATAATGAAAAAAAAAATGATGATGTAAGATATCGAATCATAAAATAGTATATAGGTATTTATCCATGGAGTTCGAATTCAATTCCTGCTCCTTTGTTTCTATATTTTTGTTTTGTGTTGTTTTTTTTTTAAGTTTAAATTATTCAAAAAAATAGTATTATAAAAAAAATTGTCAATGAAGGGCGGCTTTGTTTTATGTTATGGATGTGTTACAATATTAATTTTGAGAGGAAAAAAAAAAGAAATGCAAGTTCGAAGTTACATCCTCACGGCGGGGATGCTTCATCAATGATTTATAATCAAATAAAAATTACCGAATTCCAAAAAAGACATTTACATGCATTCGATACCATGTTTACGTGCAACGAAACAAATTTAAATCATTGTAAAAAAATGTATTATAGTTAAATAAAATCTAATTATGTACCGAATATAAAATATGTTCAAGAACGTCACTGTATGTAAGTAAAAATTGAAAACTAGAATGTTGTTCAATTAATATACATAGATAGATAGGTATACATTGGATCACGTTGGTCAGATAGAACCTGCTCGCACGACGACATTATAAATAATTTTTTTATACGTCATTATAAATAAACATCCAGTTTGACATTCATTTTTTATAAATCTATTATAATTTCTGTACATATGAACTATATATATATACACCCCAATCTTTACGGACAAATTCCTCAGCAAAGCCGACACTACGAATGGTCTTAAATATTGGGAAAATAAAGATTGCTTTATTATTGTAATTATGATATTAGTGTTATAAAGGTATGTATATACATTATGAAAAACAATATAAATATGTAATATACCATAATATAAATATGTAAATATAAATATATCTAAATATTCTATATTTATAAATATGTTAATATATAAATATGATAATATACCAATATTAAATATTAAAACTCTATATATATAACGAGACACACACACACACACACACACGAATGGAAAACTAAAATATTATTCGGTAATTTTTGTCGTTATAATAAAATGAAATCTAAAATTACACAAATAGGTTCAATAAGTACACACTTTTATATATAGGGATTAGAGATTGGATAAAGTCGGTCAGATAGAACCTGCTCGCACGTCAACATTATAAATATAATTCATGCAACAAACATCCATTCTGAGTTTGACTTCCATTTACAAAAAACAATAAAAAATTATCATTTTTCCGGTACATATGGAATTTATACATAGATGATGAGTAATACATATCCCAATATGTACGGAAAAATTCCTTAACGAAGCCGATACTACGAATGCCCTTAAAATTTTAAAACTAAAACATGTGTATATATATATATATGTATATATCGAATATGAGGTGTTCATGAACTTCACGTAGACCCCACCACTTTGCTAGTGCCCTACAACCCCTATATAAACCATCTCTAATTCAATTTGAACGACAAACAAACAAGAAGAAGAAGAAGAAAATATTTAAAAAAAAAAAACCATTAAAAATCGACAAGAAAAAAACAGGGAAGAAAAAAAAGATGGGTCTTGGTTTGGATTCTCGGGGCTTCAGCAAGTTCTTGGCAACGGTGTTTCTTGTGATCGCCGTCGCCGGAAAAATCGCCGCCGCCGCCTCGTACTCTCCGGCATATCAGGGAAGCTCTTGGCGCCAAGCACACGCCACTTTCTACGGCGACGAGACCGCTAGCGAAACCATGGGTAATTATTTACAAAAATCCTATAAACCATCCGTATATATACATACATACGTTTTTTTATAACTTATACATACGGTTTTGTATTACATTACATGCACAAATGCTAAATACATACTTACATAAACATAAACATGGTTAGTCGTTAACATTCATTATGTGAAATTAATCAAGATTTCGGTCGAATTAGGACCGTTCCATTGATACAAAAACGTCTTTTTTTTGTGTAATGTTAAGGTGGGGCATGTGGCTATGGAAACCTATGGAACAGTGGCTATGGCGTGGCCACGGCGGCACTGAGCACAACAATGTTTAAGGATGGTTATGCCTGCGGACAATGCTTTCAGATCAGATGTGTATCGTCTCCACATTGTTATTACGGAAGCCCTTCGGCCATAGTGACCGCAACCAATCTATGCCCTCCCAATTGGTATCAAGACTCTAACAATGGCGGTTGGTGCAATCCTCCTCGTGACCATTTCGATATGTCCAAACCCGCTTTCATGAAGATCGCTAACTGGAAGGCGGGGATCGTTCCCGTCTCATACCGAAGGTATGTTTTTTTTGGTAAACGAATGATATATATGATAATGATACATGTAAGTATTATCTTTTGGACTCTTATCGTTAATTAGCTAAATATTACGCTAATTAGACGATTTTTTTAGAAAATGAACCTATAATCTTTAAGTCCTAACTATAATCTAAGCCAAATTATGTACTTTGCAATGCGTTTATATACTTTTTGTTTTCATCGTAAGACACATTTCCATCATCCTTTATGATTGGTAACATATATATATATAAAATATAGTTTATGAAAACACATTAAATAAAAACATCATTCAATGGTTCTTTGATGTACAAATCGAAACTTTTTTTTAAGTTCAAACCACATTCTATACATTCAGAAACATAGTAAATTAATACGTAAACTTGTCATGCATACAGAGTGCCATGCAGAAGAACGGGAGGGATAAGGTTCCAGTTCCAGGGCAACGCTTACTGGCTGCTCGTGTTCGTGATGAACGTGGGCGGGGCTGGTGACGTGGCGAGCATGGCGGTGAAAGGGAGCCGTACGAATTGGATAAACATGAGCCACAACTGGGGAGCCTCTTACCAAGCCTTTGCATCACTCTACGGCCAGTCTCTGTCGTTCCGGCTCACCTCTTACACCACTCGTCAGACCATCTACGTCTGGAACGCCACTCCAGCTAATTGGCAAGCCGGCATGACCTACAAGAGCTACGTTAACTTCCGCTAAGCCCTCCGGCCCGGGTCTCTGTGAAATTACAGTTTTACCCTTTCAGTCGAAATTAGGGTTTTCTCTCCCTCGCGCGTTTTCGGGTTTAGGAGTTTCAGTGCCCTTGTTGGAATGGGCCGGCTTCGTGTGTTTGGGTCATTTGATATTTCATCATGTGGTGGAACTCGAAATTTTGGAGTTTCCGACATTGATGATGGAGTTTCTGTGGTTGCAAGTTGTAACTCTATCTCGCTTTTGTCTTCTCATGTACTTTTTTGTAATGGTGAATTTGTCTATAAAGGATAAAACGCCTCTTCTCCCGTACATTTTGATTTGATATCATCCCCGGATATATACCCTCGAGCTAAAAAGAAGTAATTACTTTGCATTCAGGAGTCCAACTCAACGGTTATAAAACACTTTCTAGTGGTAAAATGGTAAAAATCTCAACGGTCAATTTTTGTTTTGATTATGGACTATGAAACTATGTTCGAGTCTGCTCTTTTTGTCCTACAAAAAAAACATGGGTTTTAAACAAATTTCTATCATATTAGACTGAACCAAACCGGTTTTACTATCTAATATAAATTTTAAAATAAACAGATGCGACAATTTTAATTTTAAAGGACACTAAATGCCGGTGAAATAATCATAACCCATCTCGACACAATCATCACGAATTTAATTTCATAAAGGAATAATTACACATAATAAAAAAAAAGTATAACTAATGTAAACTGATTAGCCGAAATTATAAAAATAAACATTAATGTGGAAACCCTAAAACTTGGGAGGCGGAGACCAATACACAAACATGCAAGCACGTCGGTCGAATTAACATAATCATTTTGACTTCTTTTGTTTATACTGTCTCTCACGTTGACGATTTGTCTTCTACGTTATTTTATTATTTATATATAATACCAAATATTATGAAATGCTAATTAAGACTCAGACGGTCCAAAACAAAAGGATAACTTCAGAATATATAAGTTCAAATAGTATTGCAAGTCTTTGTGACATTGTTGGCAATGGCAATGATCGGAACTCCGATGATTTCCGCCGGAAGGTATGGAGGTTACCGTGGAATTCATTTATATATATATATTTATAATTATATTTATAAAGAAACCATTTTTTTAATTAAACAAATGGAGAGATGTGATCCACTGATTTATAAGTGGCTCTTAAGGGTGGGAATTTTGGTACGTTACTAATTAAATAAGCAATCAAATAATACGTAACCGTAATCGAATCGAATCGAATCCGATATAAAAACCGAATAATTATGATTTCTCCAAACCCAAAAAAAAAATGAAACCGATCTAAAACCAATTACAAAATAATAAAAAAATCGATAATTTAGTTGAAAATATAATTATTTTTATAACAAAAAAACCGAATCCAATTCTAACCGAGCCAAATTTTATATAGAAATCGAATGATTATAATTTTTTTTATAACCGAGATAATTGAAACCGAATATAATCGAACCGAAAACCAAATTATATAGTGTTGATCCCGTAAATTCCTCTCAAGACGAATGAACAAATCACCCACTTGCTTTGAAGCCGAACCAAATAATTGAGCAAATCTTCAAACCCTTCTACAAACAATCAAAGCTTACTCTCAAGACACATTGAAGAACATGCAAAAGAATATAGTGGGATTGTTCGATGAGTAGGATGGGTATCCTGGATTTATGTCCAATTATTTTCCATTCGAACCCATTTGATTTTGTATTAAATTCTATTTTCATGATAAAATAAAAATTTTAATTATTTTTTTTATATTTTATTGATCAAATTATAAAAAAAAAACATATCTAAATTTACATACGCGTGTACGATGTATTATTCTTCGGTTCGAATAAGCAAATGTTATGTCAGCCCATAGGGCCCATTTACAACTCCCTGTTGGGTTTCCCCCGAGTGACAGTACAACCTTATTGAAAATAAATCCAATGTTTCTAACATCTTTTCAATTGCACCCCGAATTTTTAATACAGTCAATTATATCCTCAAAAACTATTTCACTTTAATTTACTGTGAAACTGAATATCCGGAAAAATATCAGACGCTTTTATTCTAATATTTGTGGACGATATCTTATTTTTTTAATAATTATTTTTATTATTTTATCTTGTTTGATTTGTAACTACTAGCTATTTACAAACGATGTTCTCAAATAAAAAAGGTTTATGAAAAGAATATAGCAATAAATACTCCCCAGATTTAGATCTGCCCATGTCCATTAAATAATTATTATTTAATACAAAAATACTAATTAAAAGAGGTCGCATGACTTGCCCAACGTGATGCCGACAGATCTGATCCGATATCTCTCTCTATGCATAATACTTCATAAAAAAAATGTTTAATCTGAATACTAAAGAAAAATTAATCAAGGAATTAATAATTTTTCATGAAATTATCTTTATTTTTTTGTACAATCACACTAGTTTGTTTAATTATAGGACTTCTTAATTTAGGCCTATCCTTGAGAACCGACGGAAGAAAAATATCTGAAGCGTTTTCTGAATTGGGTCTGAATCAAGAAATTATTACCTTAGGGTTATATATGTAATTATAAAAATAAAGGTGTTAAAATTGAAATTTCCCCCTAAAAGAAAAGGGATTAAGAGGGGTAAACTTCAGAAATACCCTTCCGGGTCGCATGAATTTCTCGCCTACCCCACCAAAAAAAAAAAAATTTTGCGACCTTATTACGACTAATATATAACTAATATACAACAGATATACCCAAAAAACTACTCTTATTTTAGTTGTATATTAGTTATATATTAGTCGTAATAAGGTCGCAAATTTTTTTTTTTTTTGGTGGGGTAGGCGAGAAATTCATGCGACCGAAAGGGGTATTTCTGAAGTTTACCCGATTAAGAGATGCATCGGCGAACATAAACGTCTGCCTCTCGTGCCATTTTCAGATCTCTCTCTCTCTCTTTCTCTCGGCGAGATTCTTGTTGTGTGATAATGGGTGCGGAGGTCAACGGCTCGCCCGCGGCGTTCAACTTCCTAATCTACGGCCGGACAGGTTGGATCGGCGGTCTGCTCGGTAAGATCTGCGAATCTCAGGGTATTCCGTACACTTACGGCTCCGGTCGGCTCGAGGACCGTCGCTCACTCCTCGCCGACATTGAGGCCGTGAAGCCGAGCCACGTCTTCAACGCTGCCGGAGTTACAGGAAGACCGAACGTTGATTGGTGCGAGTCCCACAAGGTCGAGACCATCCGTACGAATGTTGTCGGAACCCTAACGCTCGCCGATGTGTGCAAGGAACAGGGATTGGTTTTGATCAATTACGCCACGGGCTGTATTTTCGAGTACGATTCGGGTCATCCTCTCGGGTCGGGTGTCGGGTTCAAGGAGGAGGATACTCCCAATTTCACCGGGTCGTTCTACTCTAAGACCAAGGCCATGGTGAGCTTGTTCTTCATTCACATTTTTTAATCCTATATTGAAATATTACTGTTTTGAATGTTTATGCTTTCAGATCATGAATTTGCAATACGTTTGTGTTAGATCCACGAGTAGGATATATATATGGGTTTCTGCGATTTGGCGATATGATCTGTTTCTGATCCAATGGCTGTAACAAATTGGTTTATTGTTCATGATTGATCGTCTTCCATGGTGTATCGCTGATGGTTGCAGACCAAGTAACCGGCATGATTGGATCTGATAACGCATTGTTTTGTGTAAAACGATCTTGTTCAGCTCATTTGTCTGTCCTGATGATTCGGTCAACTTGTTATTACAAATGGGTTAAGATCCTGGTCAGTATGTACATCATCAGTAGGTTTATGGATCAAGATTCTTGGAACAATGTCAATTGATGTTTTGATATCAACTAACAAGTCAACTGCTTGGGACCAGAAACATATTAAATGCGTAGACTTGGTTTTGGATTTGGCTATGTGGGTTTACTTCTAGATTTTCAGCCCATCGTCATGTACTCAAGTTGAGTTTGAATAATTGGGTTCTAATTCGGTCTTTTTCGTTGATCTATGACCCGAAAATAGGTGGAGGAACTGCTCAAGAACTACGAAAACGTATGCACACTCCGTGTCCGGATGCCCATCTCATCCGATCTCTCCAATCCACGGAACTTCATAACCAAGATTACTCGATACAGCAAAGTAGTCGACATCCCCAACTCCATGACAATCCTCGACGAGCTTCTCCCAATCTCCATCGAGATGGCAAAGCGGAACTTAACCGGGATCTGGAATTTCACCAACCCGGGAGTCGTGAGCCACAACGAGATCCTCGAGATGTACAGGGAGTACATTGATCCGAACTTCACCTGGAAGAATTTCACTTTGGAAGAGCAGGCTAAGGTTATCGTTGCCCCGAGGAGTAACAACGAGCTCGACGCCAAGAAACTGAGCGCCGAGTTCCCGGAGATGATGTCCATTAAGGAGTCCCTCGTCAAGTTTGTGTTCGAGCCGAACAAGAAGACACAGGTTAAAGCTTGAGATGGAAAGCCACGGTCGGTCCAGAAACTGAAACTGAAACTGAAACAGAGAGAGTTGGGATAAAGAAATTGAATGAACTTTTAGGGTTTATTATGTGATGGAATTGAAGTGTTCTGATTTTTTGTATTTTGCCGATGTTGTATTGTTATAAACTTTGATTACAAATAAAAAGCCGCAGGTCCTCTTTCATTATTATATGTAAATGTAGAAAGCAATAAGAATTGTAGACATCTAGCCAAATATAAAGGCGACATATTCTAATGATAAATAATGTAGCAAGTTCAGTTCGGTGTATTGAAAAATTGATATGTATACAAACACATATATACATGTATGTATAATTACAAATGTATAGCTGTTCGTGGATAGGATACAGTACATTTTTGGCGGTGAATTTGTTTATAAATTAAGTCAAGAATGTATGTTGTGTTATGGGTTTCGGATTCACGTTTCTAAATTAAAAGTAGGGGTCGACAATTTGTTCGATTATTTTAAAAGTGAATTGAATGATTGAAATTAAATAATTGTTTGGGTTGTGAATTTTCGAAATTCCAACTAATCGAAACTGAATAAATCGAATCTTAGTTAACTGTAACCGAATAAAATCATTCATCCAACCATATATCATCGATTAATATTTGATATATGCTATATATAATTAGAAAAATTATCATAGATTGCGGATATAATTTTATAGTTACGGTGTATAAGTTTTTGTATTTGGTTATAATTTAATAACAATTTTAATTGGATATAACTGAATCGAACTAAACCAATTAAAATCAAATAATTGCTTGATTATAAGTTTTCAAAATCCGAAATAATTGACCGTATCCCTACTAAAGATTGATACGTGCACCGGATAAAACAATTAGGTTTTGGTCGAGGTCTTAAAAAAGTGAGTAAAACAGGAAATGCGTCTGCCGGGAGTCGAACCCGGGTCTATTGCTTGGAAGGCAATTATCCTAACCGTTGGACTACAAACGCTTGGATGCTTAGTTTGTCCACAATACATATCAATTTTATTCGAATATTAATTTTACTACAGACACTTATACCTTAAAGTGGATCTTTATTGTCGACGACAGCGATATTAGAGGACAATGGCCAATGTGTGTTTAACGGTGAAAATGGCATTGTAGCCAAAGCCGATTATTGTTTTTGTTATCTTTATTAAGTTCCTTAAAGAATGTAAAATCATTCATATAATAAATGATAGCAACTGATTATATTGGAATATAAAACATGCTCGATAGTTCGTATGATTGGTTTTTCACCTTTTGTCCCCCAAAACACCAACTTTGATAACCCATGTTACTTAGCAGTGGAAAATCAAGATTTACAATTTCATACCCCCACTCCCCTCTCTCTCTCTCTCTCTCTCTCTCTCTCTCTCTCTCTCTCTCACACACACACACACACACACACACACACACACACACACACACACACACACACACACACACACACACACACACACACACACACACACACACACACACACACACACACACACACACACACAGAGAAAAGAGCAAATGCAGAAATTGGGACAGAACATATGTAAGTTAAAACAACCCTGTTTCTAATGTCTGTATACAATAACAGCTCAGTTATAGAGACATAAAAACATTCAAACAGGGAACCCACCTCATTCTTCTTTACGTGCCTTTGCAGGTTTGGCAGGGACGACATGACCGAGGAGGATCACGGAAACGGGCACGACCGTTCCCACGTAGTATACACTCCCGTACGCAGTTATCGTCTCGTGCAAACTCAACACCTTCCAGAGAAATAACGAAATTGAGATAAAGAAGAAAGCTTTCTACTGCGTTCATGGAGGGAGGGAGGGAGGGAGAGAGAGAATCACCATGAAACCGACGGACGAGTAGTTGAGTACCAACACTGTGTAGAGGAAGTTCGCTAAAACCGTCATCTTCCTCGGTATATCCATCTTCGGAGGAATGGCTCGTTGCCATCTGTATACAACTGCTCATCCAAAAATTGACAGAGACCGAGAGAGAAAGAGAGTTTTAGATAAGGAAGATGGATGTTTTAACCACCAAATGTATCCGTACGTACCCCTTGAACCAGCTATCATCAGAGCCGACTGAACAAAGAATATGATGTACCCCGGATATAGTCCCTGCATATAGCGGAAGAGAGTGGAAATCCATTTTAAGAAAAGGGGTTCGACGAGAGATCGAGCAGGAGAATTCCAGAAACAGAGAGGGTTGATTACTCACATGCCAAACAGCACTGACGGTTTGCGTGGCTAGCAACTGGAAGAAACCCGCCTTCTTCCCACTCTTTACGAGTCTCTCATACACATCTGTAACCAAACAAGAGAAGGATTAGATCAGTTCACTATCTCTTTCGATAGAATTCCAATGGGAATATGCAATCGTTTTGTATCAGAAGTACATTTTGGACTTGTAAATGTACACTTACAGTGACGAAGCCACGTGCTGACTTGTATGTTCCACACAAGCGGAATCTGAACCGCGCTCTTAGCAAGTTCAACACCAAGAATGTCAACATTTTTGGCACGGTCCCACTTTGGCTTCGGTGGAGAAGAATCGGTCCAACCACTGAAACCCAAACCGGAGATGATAATAGAAGCCTCGGAAATGGACCAGATGAAGTAATACTTCCAACGAGCAGTGAAGCCAGACATGTATTGGTAACCTAATCTTTTCCAGAATCCCCATTCTTGGTAAACCGGATCAGTGAACCGAGTTAACGGGAAATGAGGCACTAAATACAGGTACAAAGCCATGCAAATCGCTGCTTGTAAAAGAGCCCGGATTGTGGCTCCATAAGGTGACGGCCACCTTCTTTTCTCAATAGCCCAGATCTGAAGCACAAACAAACAAATTTAAGATAATCTTTTCAAAGGAAATCAAGATTTGATCTTTTCGCCTATTAAGCAAGGAATATTTGAAAGTTTACAGAAAGAAACCTTACCCCTTTCCCTTCGGTCCATTCAAGATAATCTTTCATCTCATAAACCGGGCCAGCGAAATGGCTGCCGCAGCAGAGGCAGTAACCAAAGTACTCAATCGGTGAAGGCATCTGAATCAAACGGTTCTTCTTCTGAGCTTCACGTAAACCTTCCTCCTCCAACATCCCATCATTGTAATTTATTGCACACGAAATGACTTTCAGCACTAACACCATCAAGGCTCCTATACATTAAAAGGGCTAATTGGAGATGATTCCAATCAGAATGGAAGGAAAGATATACACTTTTGCTCAATCTGAAATCGGAAAATTTGAGATTTCACTACTAATTTCACTTAATCCAAAACCACGAACCCAAATCCATCACCAGATAAGGAAATAACGTTATGAAATCATGAGTACCAGTCGCGTCGATTCCTCCTTCTTTCCAAGCATCTCCACTCATGTAATAGACATGACTACACAATCATCGAATGAACCCACATTTCAATCAACAGGACGAACAGTTTCATTACTGATCCAAACATTAAAAGTTGAAAACTTTTCTGGAAAAACAAAGGAAATTTTACCATCCAATGAGATAAGCAAACCCCAGGGAGAACGTGATGATGCCGCACTTGGGCCGGTAAATCGCCATGGAAGCGTACCCGATCATCATGGGGACGAGGAAGTGGAGATTCGAGGAGAAGCCGAAGGAGAGGTAGGAGAGGAAAGCCCCCGACGCGGCCGAGTAGATGTGCTTGCCTAGTCGACTCGGGACGAGTCGCCATAGGAACGAGACCGGGATCGTGGCGACGAAACAGATGAGGAAGCGGAGGACTGGGACGGAGACGCCGATCGCGGCGGCCATGGAGTCCATGTCCACCAGGCCCATGGAGGCTCAAATTCCGCGCAACTCGTGCTGAGTTACAACTCGCTCCTGCGGGAGAAATCTAAAGAGCTTCGGAGCAGATTCCGCTGATGCTCTTGGAGAAATCTGATTGCTTATTGTTCGCATGCTTCATATTTGCTTGAGGTTTTAAAAATTACCAGATTGACCTTGCGAGTGGGTATTACATAATCGAGAGATTATCCGATGCGGTCTAGTTACAATGATCCTGCTCTCAAAACGTCAATTAGCCGCATGGCCCACTTGTACTTCTTATTTTTTTCATTTTTAATTTTGAAAATAAGATTTCAAATAAAACAAAATCACTATTCATAAACAAATACAGAATCATTCATAAAATATATCAATCATAAGCACGCGGAAAAATAATGACTGTAATTAAGTCTAGCTTATGTATATATTTTAATTGCTTGCGGATATTTCATGTAATTTAAAGTCGTATTACAATGCGTTGACGTACAAGCACTAATAGCGCGTTGGAAGGAGAAACTCGGTGGGCTGCGTCGCAGGTGATTATAGCATCACTCCCCCCAAACATCGGAACTTCTGAAGTGGGGGGGGGGGTGTTATGTTGCATGACCAGACCCAAGGAATGTCTTGGCCGTAACGAAACGTAACGTCGTTTCAAATGACTAAAATACCCCCCCCAAAACCAGACGAAACTGCAAATGTGGGCAACTTAAGTGTGGGCCCATTAATATTGGCCCATTAAGGTCCATTTAAAGAGCCCTCTAGGTCCCTTTTTTTTTCTTTTTCAAAATTCTCTTTAAACGCGGAGAGCTTCTTCTTCGAGCGGACAAAGGGTTTTAACCTAGTGATCTTTCCCATTCTCTCTCGCGAATCTTCAGGTATGTCTGCTTCTCCCTCGATCTTGCTTTTCAAAACCACATTGGTGCAAAAACTACACTGCTCCATCCATAAATTTTCCTTAATTTGATGGGAATTGAGTTCTTCAATCGGAAGAACCGGGACGAGATCATAGAAATCTGTAATGATTGCGGTGATGATCGCAGTTCATTATGAATATCTAAGGGTCTTAGTTCTTCCGGTGTTTTTCCTTATTAACAATCAAGGTTTAAGGTTTACAAATTGCCAGAATCTGTCTCAATGTTATCTGGATTTGAATCCATCAAAAAACATTCCTTGATAATCAATTCTTATGGTTTATCTTGGGACTGGGCGTTTTTACTCGAAACTCGTGGGTTCACGGATATCCGGGATTTGAGTATCCGGTACGAGACCGATTACGAAATAGATGAGATCATGAGACTAGAAAATTCGATCGGCGGGTTCGAGTTCGGGTTCTAAAATCAGAGAAACAGATACCCGGATATCCGTAAAAATTAAAAAGACTGAACTACCCCTAACACCCTACAGTTATAAATATTTACAAAAATACCTAAGAACTTTTACAGTAACCCTAAGACTCATAAGCATTCGTGTTTTGTTCTTCATTCTTGCGTCGTTCAGATGTTCTCTCTTCTTCTCTCTCTCTTTGAATCCAATTTCTCTTGATTTTAACTAAAAATCACTGCGATTTCTCTTGAATATCTTCGTTGTCAAGCTTTTCCGTCTCTGTCTCCATCGCAAAAGGTAAGGATCTCTATCTCTTCTCGGTCTTCCACGATTTAGGATTTCTTCTTGAGTTCGGGTTCTCTTGATTCTGGCTAGTTTTCGTCGATTGTGGCGAGTTTTCATCGATTTAGGGTTTAAATCTTCGTTACTCTCTTCTGTTGGGGATTTATTCTACTTAGCATTTTGGTCTTCGTCGATTTATGTTTCAGTTGTTGAGTTTTCGTCGTTTTAGAGTTTAGGTGGTTGAGTTTCCGTCGATTTTGGTATGTCGTTGATGTTGGAGGTCTTTGACACTATCGGAGTCTCTTTGTTCAGATTGTTGGAGTCTCTTTGTTTTTTTGTAGATGTCATCTACGGTTCATGATTCTGGATCTCACGTTTCAAAACCGATACCAACCTTTTCGGTGTTTGATCAGCAAGAATCCCGAAAAGCCTTAGTGATGATGATAATTATGGATAAATTACTATATAGTTTTTTGAAAAGGAAGGGTTTAGATCTTTCATGGAGATTGTGCAACCTGGGTTTATTAGCCCTCAACTAAGGATTGTATGAAAATATATTTAGAAGAGAAGAGGAAGTTGGATATGTAATGAGACCTTTGGACTTTGTAATTTGTATGTATTTTCAGATTTGGACTTTGTATATTTTCTGTTTGTGTTGAACATTTTGGAGATTTTGTATGTATTTGGACTTTTGTATTTCTCTGTCTGTAGATTATTTTGAAGACTTTGTAATTTGTAGACAATTTGTATTTCCATGTTAACATTTTGTAATTTGAACCAAAAACTCACAGATGATATCCGAGTCTGCGGACATCCGGATATCTGGCTCTCGCGAGATGAGATCGAGATAATGTGTCATCAGAACTCGTGGATCTGAAACCCGAAGCCGGATGGTCTAAAACTTGCGGATATCTGCCCGCGTCCACCCCTAGTTTATGTATTCCCATGAAATAAATTTAGAATCACTTGGAGTTTGAGTCGATATGATCAGTATTAAGTCTTAATCTTAGGTTGTGAACATCAGGATTTCACGTTTCTTTTAACAGGTGTAGTTAAGAAGGAAACTGTATGGCTTATAACTTATTATTTTGTCCTTTGATTCACAGGCTAGGTATTTCTTGTTATCACCTGGTTAAGATGAAGAAAGCTGATAAGTTTGCACCAAGTTCGAGTAAGGTAGTTTTTGATGACAGTGAAGAAGAAGAAGAAGAACTCAGCTCTTCTTCTGCGTCGTCTTCCGATGAGGTGGGTATCTTAGAAAATTCCGAGACTTGGAAGGTTATTGTTCAACGAGGTCTTTGCTATACAGCGGGGTTTACAACGATAGGGTTTAATGTTCTAATCTTGAATCTTGTGTTTGATTGTGGATTAGGAAAAAGAAATAGAACACGAGTTAACGTTTGAGGAAATGCAAAGGCTACGTGCTGATGGGTCTAAGGCGGTTTCCTTTAAGCCAAATCAAGAGAAGAAGGAGAAAAAGGGACGTGCGAACAAAAATAGGTAGACATTTTCTTTTTGCGTCGGTAGTGCTTTCTTTGAATTGTTACATTCAGTTGTATGCTTTCGTACTAATTTTGTGCCCTTTTTTGTAATATAAAGACCAATGGAAGTAAGTTGCAAAAGACCAGTGAGTCGATTTAGAGATGTTGTTCAAGCTCCAAAGAAGGTAAAAGCCTGTGTTTTTTTTACGCCTTTATAGTGAAACCTTTATAATGTGACCTCATCTAGTGTTTCTTGTATGCATCCAGGTGGTACGTGACCCTCGGTTTGAATCATTGTGTGGAAATCTTGATACCGAGGGGTATCTAACTTTCCCTTTGATTTCTCTAAAAGAGACTTGTTGATTCTTAGGGGCCCATTTCTCATAGCTTGCTTATTTTTTTTTGCCGTGGTGGTCTGAATAGTTTCTTGTTTTCTGTAGGTTCAGGAAGAGATATGATTTCTTGTTTATGGAAAAGCTTCCAGCAGAAAGAGAGGTTTCCATTCTCAATGCCAGAACTTTTCTTTCATTGTGTTTCTTCTTGTCATTCATTTTTCTTATGGAATTTTCTGGGTTTTCGAAACAGGAGTTGAAAAGGCAACTAAGAAACGAAAGTGATCCAGAAGTTGTCGGAGATTTGGAAAACCGCATAAGGTGGATCGTAAGTGATTCATTTCTCCCGAATAATGGTTTCTCAAATCTGTGCTCTGTTTCTTCCAACAAAATCGTGGTATTCAAATACCAGCCCTGCTATTCTCTTGCCATTCATTCTCATATATCGTTATCTTAGGACAAAATGTTGAAACCCGATACAACGAAGAGCAAGGAGGCGGCAATACTCACGGGACACAAGAAGAAAGAACGGGAAGCTGCAAAGCAGGGGAAGAAGCCTTACTATCTAAAGAAATCCGATATCCGAAAACAGAAGTTGATAGAGAAGTACAATGATCTCAAGGCATCTGGAAAGCTTGAAACATATCTCACGAAAAAGAGGAAGAAGAACGCGTCGAAGGAGCATAGGTACATGCCATATCGTCGGCCCAACTCTTCCTGAGCAATAGAGACAATGTTAGTCAGTGTTGAAGATCGAAGCTTTGTTGATCGGGCAGCCATTGTTAAAGACTGAAGCTTTACTTGTAAAAGTGAATGCTTTTGAAACATATGATGATCTATGGCTGGTTTGTCCACTTGTTTCCGGTGGCGGCCATTGTTATAGGCTGAATCTTTACTTGTAAAAGCGATTGCTTTTGAAACATATGATCCATGTCTGCTTTGTTTATTTGTTTCTAGCCGCCGCAATTGCTAGAGATTGAAGCTTTTACTTGTAAAAGTGATTGCTCTCGAGAAATATGATTTATTACCTGCTTTGTGTATTGTTTGTCTGTCATTGCAGTTAGGGTGGACGATTCGTACTCGGTTCGGATTCTTCGATTTTACAAAAATATGTACTAACTAGTTTAGTTTTGGGTTTGGTTTTTATTATGAAAATTTTAGATCTTAAAAAAATTTTGGTTTTTTAAAATTCCATTGGTTTGGTATGATTCCATTCCGAGAGATCGTATCGAAAAGTCCATCCCTTAGGTTGTGGGTAGGGGTGGGCACGGATCGGATATTCGGGATTTTTGAGATATCCGTATCCGTATTCGATCCGCACAAATATTTGATTTTGTTATCCGTATCCGATCCGTAATTTTCGGATATTTACAATTTCGGATATTCGTAAAAATCACGGATATTTGCGGATATCCGTATCCGACCTAAAATATTATAAAATTTTAAATTTAAATTAAATAATAAATTCAAATGTAAATAAAATATATAATCTATTTAAGATAAATGATATTCACAAATTTAAAATTCATAATTTAAACATTCCAAATCAACTCAAATACAAATACAATTATAATTTATCACATACAAATATATTCAAAATTCAAATTTCAAAACATTAAACATAATAAATCTTAATATTCAAAAGATTAAAATTATAAACCTCAATATATATAAATTTTTTTTTGAATCACCCTTAAAAACGTGTAAATATTAAGCATTTTAAATCTCCATATGAAATTATTCTTATATTTAATAATATTATTACAAAATACGGATCGGATCGGATATGTCGGATAATTCAATTTTAATATCCGTATCCGACAAATATCTCAAAAGAAATATCCGTAT